TGTCTCAGCCTCCCAAAGTGTTGGGATTACAGGCATGAGCCACCGTGCCTGACCCAGGCCCAGATTCTGATAGTGGTCCTGCCACCCACTTGGTATTACTTCACCCCCGATTTCCTCATTTATAAAATGGGAATAGCAATAAACCCTATGTGGTAGACTATGAAGATTAAATTATATCATGCACATGAAATTCTGAGCACAGTAGCACTCAACAGATGTCGGTTAAGTATTACCATTTTGTTTCTCTATCTTCCTGACTGCCAGACCCCAAAACAGCAAAGGAAACAGAAGTAACATGACTAATATCACACTTGCCAGTTAACCTGTTCAGGGCGGTTAGCAGGGTTGCAAGCAGTGAAGAGGATTCTAATTACTTTCTTTTTCTTTTTTTTGAGGCGGATTTCACTCTTGTTGCCCAGGCTGGAGTGCAATGGTTCGATCTTGGCTCACTGCAACCTCAGCCTCCCCTGTTCAAGTGAGTCTCCTGCCTCAGCCTGCTGTGTAGCTGGGATTACAGGTGTCCACCACCACACCCGGCTAATTTTTTTGTATTTTTAGTAGAGATGGGGTTTCACCATTTTGGGCAAGCTGGCCTCAAACTCCTGATCTCGTGATCCACCTGCCTTGTCCTCCCAAAGTTCTGGGATTACAGGCATGAACCACTGTGCCCAGCCTCAAATGTCTTTCTTTCTGCAACCTCTGCCTCCCAGGCTCAAGCAATCCTCCCACCTCAGCCTCTTGAGTAGATGAGACTACAGGTATGTACCACCATGCCTGGCTAATTTTTGTATTTTCTGTTGGCCAGACTGGTTTCAAACTCCTGAGCTCAAGCGATCCACTCGCCTCAGCCTTCCAAAGTGCTGGGGTTACAGGCATGAGCCACCGCACCTGGCCTCAAATTTCTTAATATGATACATAACTCTCTGCAATATGACCCCAACAACCTTCCCAGCCTCATCAAATCAACACAAGTTGGCCTCTGTCTAAATTTCTTCTTCACTCCTTGCTATGCTTCATCCGTAATATCCACACTGATGTTTCTTGAACGCACTGAGCTTAATCTTTCAACTTTGCACATACTGCTATACATGCTGCGTGGGAAGTGCTTCCAGCATCTTCACATAGCATCTGCACACAGCAGGCTCCTTTAACTTCCTCAGAGACTTTCCCCAGCTGCTCCTGTCACATATAACCCCAGTCGCTATCACTTTACCTGCTTTACTTTCTTCCTATCGCTGCTCACTATCAGAAAATAGATTACTAATTGGTGTGCCTGTTTATTCTCTATCTTCTCCAGTAGAATTTAAGCCCTACCAGGGCAGAGAGCTTTTCCTGTTTCCCACTATATCATCAGTGCCTAGAATAGTGTATAGGATATAGCAGAAATCACCACTCTATCGACAGGAGCTTCGGACACAGCATTTTTTTTTTTTTGTCTTTTTGTTTTATTCCTTTTTGTGGAGAACGGGGTCTCGCTATATTGCCCAGGCAGGTCTCAAACTCCTGGGCTCAAGCTATCTTCCCGCCTCTGCCTCCCTAAGAGCTGGGATTACAAGCGTGAGCCACAACACCTGGCTGGACACAGCACTTAACGTGCTATTTGTATAATCCCTTCTAGTCAAGGCTTTCTCGGTTACTAAGAAACCAACTCAGGCTGGACGCAGTGGCTCACGCCTGTTATCCCAGCACTTTGGGAGGCTGAGGCAGGCAGATCACCTGAGGTCAGGAGTTCAAGACTAGCCTGGCCAACGTGGTGAAACCCCATCTCTACTAAAAATACAAATATTAGTTGGGTATGGTGGCACATGCCTGTAATCAGGCTGAGGCAGGAGAATCGCTTGAACCCGGGAGGCAGAGATTGTAGTGAGCCGAGATCACACCATTGCATTCCAGCCTGGGAAACAGAGCAAAACTCCATCTCAAAAAAAAAAAAAAGAAAAGAAATTGACTGAAGCTACTTTAAACAAGGGGTGAGGGAAGGGACAGCAACCATCGAAAGGACTTCAGGGGAGGACATAGAGCTGGACATTATGAAAAATAACTGAATTCAGGGCATTGCTCTCCTCATCCCAGGCCACAGTTGCTTCTCTCTGCTCCCTGGGCTGCTTCTCCGTCTTCCTTCCTCTGTCCTTTGTCTATTCATCCCACACATGACCCAACATACATATGGCCCTTCTGCCCTGTCACATCCAAGAGTCTACCTCATTTGAAGTTGAGAATCTGGGCTGGGCACAGTGGCTTATGCCTGTAATCCCAGCACTCTGGGAGGCCAAGGCAGGCGGATCACTTGAGGTCAGAAGTTCAAGATCAGCCTGGCCAACATGGTGAAACCCTATCTCTACTAAAAATACAAAAATTAGCTGGGCATGGTGGCATACGCCTGTAGTCCCAGCTACTTGGGAGGCTGAGGCAGGAGAATCACTTGTACCCAGGAAGCAGAGGTTTCAGTGAGCCAAGATCGTGCCACTGCACTCCAGCCTGGGCAACAGAGTAAAA